TATGTAAGATGCGTTCATGGGTTTGGTGTAATGGCCGTCGGCCCCGACCACTGTGAGGTTGTGGTCTTTGATTGCGAAGAAGAGGATTATGTTCATGGGAAAGAGCAAAACGACGCATCAACCATCTCCAGTCCGACGAATTGGAACCACAGTTTGAAATAATTTAGGACCAAACGACATAGATTCAGACAAGCAGGAGAAGGGGAAACACCTTGAACATCTGATCAGAACGCTCCAGAACCTCATCCGCTAAACGCATCCCGAACCAGGAACCAAATGTAAACCCCGTCTGGAATAACCTGCGAAGCAGGAACAGGGGCTTCTTCCTATAAATCCTAGCGATCCTGGGGACACTGTACTCGGACAAGGAGTCGGCTTCATCGGCGCTGAGACGGAACAGGTAACCGGATCTATCCGTGAAGCTGTCGACATCTCTAGAGGCGGCGGAGACGGCAGCGGAGCTCACTCTGGCCGGCGAGGAGACAAAGAGGGTGGGATTGGCGGGAAACGAAACGACTGGCGGAGAGGAGAGCAGAAGCATCTCTTCGAGAGGAGAAAAGTTTAGGCGAATTGGATCGGAGTGAGAAACATTCAAACTGATTTGAGGCAACGTATCTTCTTTTTATATATATATATATATACGCCTGGAGATGGGAAACACAAAAGGCTGTATCTGCGCTCACGTCATTTCCGTTGCCATCTCTTTTGTCGCCGGATTTTCTTACTGGACAATTTATGCGTCACACATCTTGAGCCACTCATTCCTTTCCGTCCTTATTATCTGCGTTTTATTTCGAAATCAATAGACCACATAACATATATAAATGATTTGGAAAAATATCTACGAAGGTCTCTTGTCCTTTTCTCATACCAATGCTAATTCAGAGACTGCACACCTCTATGCAGAAGTTGCAAAACAAAAACTCTACGTGGATTTTGATTAGATTGGGCCAAGCTATGCAGAAGGCCCATCCAAGCCACACACTACAAGGCCTTGGGCCCAATACATCAAACTTCACCTCACATTATCTCACAATAGACATTATCAAGACAAGTCCCGATCCCTCTATTGGGTCTTGCTCTTCATTTCACAATAGACATAGTATATATATGATTTGTAAATAGTTTTTTTTTTTTGGGTTCGCCTTTATTCACGCTGCGTTCTTTCATCCCATGCCATTAACGTAATCGAATCCAGAATCTTGAAATAATTGACCACTGGACCAACCCTTAACGAATTGAGAATAAATAGTTTGCATAAAAATGCACTTGAAAACATTTGTTGGCACACCTTAACGTATAATATTATTGTAGCATAACAAGTATAGAACAATGTGTATCGACATATTAGTTACAATATAGTAGGAACACGAAATCATAAACATGTAGTACTATATATATATAGTATAGTAAGCAACAAATTAACAAGTTGGCATGTGAGGCGGTGGAGGCAGTAACGTTTCGTTTGGGAGCTTTCCATTCGCAACGATGAAGACAGTCTCCATCCCCCACGTTTGATGCCTGTCCAAATGACAGTGCATGAACCACACTCCTACGTACACCACGCACCAAAAAAAAACACATTAATGCGATACATTAAATAATTATATATAATCAAAGATGGGAAATTACGTAATAAATACCGGGATTATCGACTTTGAATCTGACAGCGAGCCATCCGTTCTTGGGCACCGTAACCGTGTTCCTATACGGAGGATCGATGAGATTGTAGTTGGAAGGATCCGTACGTTCATCGTAGTTTCCGAACCCGTAGCCGACAATGTAGAAGCTGAAGCCATGCAGATGCATGGGGTGATCGATTCCGGCGACCAAGTTCGTGCCCTGAAACACAATCTCAACCTCTTCGGCGAAATCCAGAGGTACCACCTCAGTCGCCAGCCTCGACGTCTCCAAGAAGAGAGGAAGATCTTGTGCCGTGAAGTTGAAAACCAACGGTGGAAACGTCGGAAACATCGTTCCGAAAACGCCGGTGATGTGGTAATAGTAAGCTCGTAGTATGTCAATATTGTTGGGTGTGACGAACGTGATGTTGTTCAAGCTTGCCGCTAATCTCGACCCGTTGGGACCCTCGCACGACGAGTTTGCGGGGCACTGGAAAAGGTTTAGCGATATCGTCGAGATTATCTTACGCGATATGTTTTGGGGAACACTTGACGGGTGATCGTCCGAGTTTAGGCTCCTGATGTTGCCAAGAAACTCGAAAGTAGCGTTTGTGTCGTTGTAAAATGGAAGATAAGGAAGGTCAGGAGGATTCGAGAGAGAGGGTTTTCGAGGGTGGTGGTAACGCAGGATTCCAGCGGTTGTGGAGTTGGTGAAGCTGACGTTAACGCCGGTGGAGTAAGCCCTGGCGGCCATGTAATAATTGCGTTTGGGGTTCTGATCGGCGTTTAGTAAGACGTCTAGGGTTTGGCCGGGGGATATGACGATGTAAGATGCGTTCATGGGTTTGGTGTAATGGCCGTCGGCCCCGACCACTGTGAGGTTGTGGTCTTTGATTGCGAAGAAGAGGATTATGTTCATTGCTGCATTTACCATCCGTAGGAGAGACTAGTAAAGGATAGAAATTCCAGCAGAGTGCCACTTTACAAATTTGAACAAACTCCAAACCTATATCTGATTTAAGGACGTTGAATTTTACATCAAAAGGATATAGAGTGTGTGTATTATTATTAGTATGTTAAAATGTAGGTATTTAGAGACTAAAATTATGCACGATGACTTAATGGTTTTTAGTAATTGGATTTGATTTAAATGATTTTAGAGCTGAATTTCCAAGAACAAAAATACAGAACAATAATAGTAACTTCTTCACATACATACATACATACATACATACATACATACATACATACATACATACATACATACATACATACATACATACATACATACATACATACATACATACATACATACATACATACATACATACATACATACATACATACATACATACATACATATATATAGAGAGAGAGAGGAGATACCAGAATCGGAGCAAGGATACAAGAAGCCGGGATGTCCATTGATGGTGAGAGCATCGGAATCGTTTGGTGCTCCTCCTGTACTCGTGAACAGCTCGACCACTTCTCTCACATCTTTCTTCCACCACTCCCCTGTCCGAATATTCTTACAACCCGTCAAAAAAACTTATCTTATTTTGCTTCACACATAAAGTATTAGACAATTCTTTTGTGGAGTGCATTAAACCCACGTTCGTATATACACGAGATGTTCACGATCCACTTAATAAAGGAAACAAGGTGTTTGTGGATTAACTAACCTAAGACGATGGGGACTTCATGGTGGGGTTTGGGGAAAGGGAGGGGTTTTCCCGGGGAGGGATATACAAAGATAGCGCCGTGGACGGTGGCGCGTGACCAAGAGTTGTGAGCGTGCCACCAAACCGTCCCTTCTTCTGTGGAGAATATCACTTTGTACGTAAAACTCGTCCCGGGTTTGATCGGACACTGAGTTATGTACTCCGGTCCGTCCGACCACGGATTCCTCGGCTGTCCTACCCCATGCCTGTTTGTAACATTACACTCAACATTATATTAATTATCGTAATATTTTTATCACAACTCCTGGTGTGTATATATATATATATATGATCCAAAACTCATACGTGTGAATGTAAGATATGAAAAAAAGAAAGAAAGAAAAGACGTTTCTTATGACTTACCAGTGAAGAGTGACATTGTCGCTTGCTCGGTTAATAACGTTCACGAAAATAGTTTCTCCTTTGTGAACTCTCAAGGTCGGCCCAGGAAATTTACCATTCACGGTCATAATCCTCTTGGAGCTGCACAGTTTCTTGTACGGGACGTCCTCCACCTGGGACCATCACCATTCACCACGTACGTGTCTCATACCAAGTCTCCAATTATTACAAGAGCAGTTAAGGAAGGTGCAATAATATTACCACAAAAGTGTATTCACGATGGGCCTCGCAATTGCTAAGGGAAAGAGCTTCGCTGAGCAGTGACATTTTTTCGGGAAGTTGTATACAAGCCATCTGTGTATCTCCTTGTGTATATATAGACATACACACACTGCACTTGTAACCAAAGGAGCCGAGGAATTTGGATATACTCTTTATTTGCGAGGGAAAAAGCCGAAATCTATATATTACCCCTTTTGAATGTAGCCCATAAATCTATCCATAGTACCCCTTTCGTTAAGAGTTTTGGTCTTACATTTTGTTGAAGACTTTTCGACACATGTACGAATTTGTCATATTGACAACGGTACGGGAGTAGATCAATGACCGGGGCGAAGAGAGATGTCAATCCAATAACGCATAATTTACGAGGTGCAAGTAGACAAAATGTCACGATCGAAACACTCTCTTTTAGGGTAGCGTAAAGGTATATCAAAGTAATAATATTTATGGATTGCCATGGTTTCATATCCATACCTTGAATGCATGTTATGTTAGTTTACGTAATTCATTTGGTGAGACAAACTGTATTTTGCGTAGAGTTTAAAAAACTAAAACACACACACACATTGCTTAATTAGACATCACCTGAAAGGTTTCTTACGGGTCATTACAAGATACTCTTATTTTGTATTTGACATTTTCAAACATAATATATATGAATGCTAAAAGAAGTATGATATAGTGCATGTAGATGTAGGCAAAAGCAAAAGAAAAACTGTGAGATTGATAGAGGAGTGGTTGAATTTCCCGAAAGAAGCATGTTCAACTACATTTGAGGGCTACTCAAGCTATTTTTATATATATAATCAACGCTATCATCATAGCCATAGCCATGCATGCATGCATGCATTCATGCGTTCCATAGGATTCCCCCAAATAAACCTTTCTTTAACATAGATCCATTTGGAGGGGAAAAGACAACTAATGAATGGGCTGAATCCCATCATCACGATTACTCATAAGCGGAATACTATGATGAGACGCTTCAACATGCAAATATAATGTCATCTCTTCTCTCCCATACATCCAATCGTCTTTTATCCAATTATATATACACACATGTATGTGTATATATATATATTATGATTATGATTGAAATAGAGGATTAGTGTTGTTTGTTGTTTCAATCAGAACGGAAGAGTTGGTAAAATAGTAACGCTCCTCACCCCCATTTCCCCAATGGAACGCGTCACGTAACACAAATCACAGATATGTAGTTTTTTTTTTTAAATTAAAATTGGAGGTTTGATTAGATGAATTCCTAATTCCCGAGCAAAAATTGATAAATTTCGAAAGTTTAGGGTCATCAAATATTTTATTAAATTTGGGATGTAATTGGAAGAATAAGAAATGTCAATGAAGAAGAACCGAAAGAATGAATCCATCATATGCATGCGGCCCCCGATACACAGAGGAGCCATTTCTAATAAAATCATTATTTATTATTTATTTTTTGTTTTTGGAAACCTCTTCCGAAAAAAAAAAACATCCACCGATCTTGCCCGTGGAGCTCCGGAAAGAACCAGAAAGCTATTGTGCGGTCGATCCAGGTACTTCCGTTCTTCTGCTAGTCTCCGAATTTGTGCGTATTCCTTCCAATCTATTATGGTGGAAATTTTTGATTCATCTTAATCTCTCCGAGCCCTGTGATTCAATTTGGTGTTGCTGTTTGAATTCTATCCTGTCATGGCGGTGTTGACTCTAAATCGATGTTTTCGAATTCTTTGACAGAGAGGATCGGACCATCATCCATGCCACTGCTGCCACCGCTGTCAGGAAACCGCCGTCGCAGATTAGGTCTGGTGTTCTTCTGTTTCTTGATTTTTTTCTCGATCGGTTTTGGTTCGATTTGAAACCAAATGTCTCGATGGGTTTGCTTTCTCGCTGAGATTTTCATTTCCGTTTCTAATTCTGAAATCCGAACTGAGCACAGATCGTTGAGGTTTTGGGCTTTGAATCTCCGCCTGCCATCTTCGGGAAAATTCGACGGACGTCTTCGGGTTTTTCGTCCCCTCGCAAATCCGGTGGTGAGTTCGGGCGAATCTGAGTTCTCTTTTATTCTCTTGTTCTCCGTCTCTGTCAGGTAAACCGAGTTTGAATTTAATCTCTGACCTTTTATTCAGACAGCTGTTTTGTTACTTAGGCTGAGGTTTTGGCTTGGTTAGTTGGTTCTGAGCTACTTGTTCCTTGGCTATCCGGTTTTTGGGTTTATTGTTGACAGAGGAATTAGAACATTCAGAGTAAAGTCTTTGGGATTAAGATTTGTTTCATTCATTTCTCTGTATCTCAGGTGCCGTCATAGTCTAGCTTTGCTTGATCGCCATCCTACTTCCGTTGTCAATTTATGGTGTCTTGTGCTCTAAGATTTTGACTTTGTTCTCTGTTACGTGATTGATTTCTCTTAGCTAGTTATTCGATTATTTTGCCTATTTGATTGCATTTCTTTGTCTGTGTCTAGATCTGGATTGTGGACTGTGCTGCTACTTGTCTTCATTCCCAATGCTTGGAAACTGGAATATTTTTGTTTATTGCTTTCTCATCCTTCTTTTCTCACAATAGCACTAGTTTCTCCTTGTCTGTGCTCTTTTATTTGTCTTGCTGTCTTGCTTTTTCTGGTAAGTCACGGTTTCTTTTTTCTCTTGTTTCATATTTTCTGTTAGTTTGGGGTTCTGAATTTCTTGTCAGATAGCGTAAGTGGGGCTCGGGCTTTCAAAGTTTGCACGAAAGGAATTTGATGACAAATAGTTGGAAACATTAGGTGTTGTGATGGGTAGTAAGTGTGCTAAAAAAATTTTAGAAGAAAGAAGTTTGGTGGTGTTGATATGGATAATATGATTTGCTGTATAATATATGAGATGCATATCAGATGCTTGAAGAAATTTAGTTCAGTGTGTTAAAACAGGTGTGTTTTCCGCTGCCTATGCTCATCATCATACATTGAATCATTTCTTTGTTTATGTTTGTTGCTGAATGTGAAATCCATCCGATTTTTGTGTTGATTTGGTTTATCATAAGGCTTTTGTCAAAAATAAAATGTAGACTATTTTCTTTTGGTTCTTTGACTCAAGGCTGCTATCGGGGTTTATCATTTGCAAGATATCGCATATGTTGGGAATCATCTTTTCTTTCTGTTGCTGAATATTGAATATGTCTGGTCATCTTAATTGTTTGATTATTTTTTCCATGAGATACTGGATTCCGAAAAGATAACCATATATGTGATTCTGATCATGATCACCACTAACAGATCTTTAGAATGGCTAGTGAACTAAAAGAATATAGTCCAAAATGCTCTACAGTTACAGATTTGCGGCTCTGAGTACCATTAACATTTTTTCTTGTTTCTCTGTTTCTCTGTGTCTCAGTCACAGACTTAAAACACCTTCTGATGTTTATAGTCAGAATCTGATGCATCACTGATAAAAAAAAATGAAGTTTGTTGCTTCATTTCTCTGATAGTTTAAGATATAATAGTTTCTTCCATTGTTTTAAACATTTTCGTGGACTAAACTCAACTATTAGCTTTTGACGAAACATGAATTTCTGTTTGTGTTTTATGGAAGAATAAATCTGTGTTTGCTGATGTAGCATTTGGGTTTCGGTTCATGGGTCACTTTCAGTGTGCATTCTAGAATGCCTTTCATTGGTTGATGATATACTTCTAGATTTCTGCTTTCTAGTAGGGGAGACTTCTCAAATTTTACAATGATCGGTCAATAACGACTTCTTTTAAAATGCACTGTTAATCTTTCAATTTCATTTAGATTCATCTATTGAAGTTTACCGATTGCGAGATGTCTCTTGCTTACACGATCCTGGAGATAAACCAAGTTGAGAATGGAAATCAGCACTGCTCGAGCAGTGCATGAGGAATAATTGTTCCGTAGAGTAACAATGGATGCAAAATCACACATGAACTATGGGAAAGTTGTCGTTTCATAGATAAAAATAAAATCAGGTTCACCCTTTGTGGTAAGATCAGAGACAGGATAGTTTTGGATATAGAGTTCATACTTTCTGGTCTTGCCAATGATATCTTTTTTGTTATTGCTGTTAGGTTATTAGGGGTGCTGACCAGATTCTATCGTTGATTTTTTGCACAGTCCTTCACGTTACAGCTTTGGCCCTTCTCATGTTCTTATAATTGGTTTGTGAATCCAGATCTTATTGCAGAGACGACATACATTTCAGAATTGGAGTTCTTGAATAAGGTGATTGTGCAAGGATGATGGTGGAGGATCTGGGCGTGGAAGCTAAGGAGTCGGCAGTACGGGAGGTGGCAAAGCTTTTGCCGTTACCTGAGCTTTTGCAGTCGATTTCTTCCATCAAGGCCGATTATATTGCACGTCAACAGGTTTGATCTTCGAAATTGAAGTCAGAACTAAATTGGCTTTCGGATTTTCTCTCGGAATCGAATCAGCTGCTTATGAATGATTTCCATGGTGTTTGACGGTTCTCTAGATTGAATTTGGTTGGTTTTTGGATATTCTTTTGTGCCTTGTATGCTGAATTTTGCTTTCAAGTGTGATAACTTCCTGGGAATGGGTGTTGTTATGTTCAGGCCAATGATGCACAGCTTAGTACCATGGTTGCTGAGCAGGTAAACCTTTGATCTAGTCTTGCTTATGTTTAATTATTTTTGCCGTGGAACCTTTTTTTCCTTAAGTGAATATACAACCGGCAGGTTGAACAAGCTCAAGCTGGGTTGGAGTCGCTCTCCTCATCTGAAAAAACGATTAATCAGCTTCGTGACAACTTTGTTTCTATTGAGAAGTAACATTTCGAGCAAGAAATCTTTTATCATCTGTTGTCTAATCTCCATGGGTTTCTTACACCTGCACTGTTTCTGTCACAGACTTTGCCAGGAATG